AGTTGAATCAGAGCTAGGCACTGGTGGCTCACACATATAAACCCTGAGATGCCCTCTGCCCCCTCTTCTCTCCTCTACAATTCCAAATTACCCCCCCCCCCCCCCGACACCAAAAAAAAACTTAAATCAAATTACAATCTTGATCTTTTTAACCTTTCATCATTTCAATACAGCTCCTAAATCCAAGTTATAACTATAATTTGAGCAAGGACTGAATCAAGGGCAAAAAAAGCATAGTTATAAATAATATAATTACTTTCACTTAGTCATATAATTTCATGTCTGCATTTTGAGTATCTCCAAATCCTACCCAAAATACTGAAGATAATGAGAATATGGCAAATCATGGCTCATATTAGTTACAGAACAGACCCCAACACATTTTCATTTTTCTAAATGATAATAGGATAAAGAAGTTGGAACAACTGTCTAAAATTCTTCTTCTATAAATTAATAAAGCTATTGATAAAACTAGTCTCATCTAGTCATTTGTTTATATAATGTAGGCTACATAAAACCATGTTCTTAGCCAGGCACTGATAGCTCACACCTATAATCCTAGTTATTCAGGAGGCTGATATCTAAGGATTGCAGTTCCAATTAACCACTCAAAAAACTGTGGCTCAAGTAGTAGAGTACTAGCCTTGAGCAAAAAGGCTCTGATCAACATCTAAAAGATTTTTTTCTTTTTTTTTTTTTGCCAGTACTAGGACAAGAACTCAGGGCCTTGAGCTACACCTCCACTTCCTGGAAGAAGTTTCTTTCTGATGCAGATGAGAGCAACAAGACGAAGATCTCCTATGTATTTCTGTGGTTATACTGTCATTGAAAACTGAAAAGGTCGGGGAATGAAGTAATTCTCAACCTCCCTTTCTCGCAGTTTACTACAGAGCTTCATTCGTTTCCTTAGAAGATTCAAGTTAAATGTAACTCATAGCTTCTAAGAGGTTTTCATACTGCCTAACCATACAAATGAAAGTATGTTATGGATGACATAAACTTAACCTTGTTGGACCTCAAAGAAAGACTTTCATCTCATACTTTCCCTTCACATTTATATTCATTCATTAATTGCAATTGCATCCCCAAACAGACTTTTAATCCAGCTACCTCAGGTCTAGACTTATAAAGAGTTTACCCATTTACTATCAGGCCATGTTGCCTCGGTTAAATTTTTTAAATTTTTTGCCTATTATTTCCTCCTATAAAGCATGCAATGCTTTCCTGCTTCCTATCACATTTAGATATATCTCAACTCGTCTGCTTAGCTTAATTGAAAGCAATAATGTAGCTTCATTCTTCCATTCAAATTTACTTTGTACTCTTTCCAACAAGCAGGTTGCCATCACAAAGATAACTCAAATTCCTTTGTTCTTTAAGGCAAGTTGAAGAAATAAGGAAAATAAAAACAAGACACTGAAATCCCTAACAGCAAAATTTTATTTATAATTGAAGTTAAGGAAAAATTTTTAATGCATGCTGAGAAAACAGTATTACCCTAAACTTACAGGTTACTATCTGGTAACAAATACAAGAGGATGCTGGGAAAAGCTTTGGCATATACAACTATTGGAACCACATTATCAGAACATTTAAACACTATTAGAACCATGTTATCAGAACACTTACATAAATCACCTACTTTTATATTACACCAACTTCATGGACACCTCATCTTCTAACTCCTCATTGGCTATTTGAGTACATAGCATTCGAGGTTAAACGTTAAGACTGGAGAATAGAGAAGAAATACAGAAGTAGTAAGCATCACAACATTTGTAGCCTACATATATGAACACAACATTAAGATTAATTAAGAAACAGTGCTTCAATTTTTGTGTGTGTGAAACAATATTCGGCAATGTTTAGCGCATGAGAAGACACTGCTTTGGTCCATCCACTCTTTCCAGCTTTTCAAAGTGTTTCCTGGCATTTCGGATGTTGATCAGAGTAGCTGCGGAAGCTAAGGGTGGGGGTGGGAGACACCCAACAGAGTAAGAAGGGCAGTCAAAGGAACTTCTGACAAGCAAAATCAAATAAATTAAAAAAAAACAAATCTTTCAATGTATGCCACTGAGAACATACCAGAGTAGGAGGTCCCATGTTACCAAGGTTTAATATTTCTGAAGAAGCAGAAGATATACTCATATTCTAAACCAAAACTTCTAAAAACCTTTTGGTTTGGGGCTTGTAGAATAAAACCCATTATCATATGTAACATAGTAATATTAACCTGAAGTAGGAAAAGCCAGTGCATGAGAGATATTTAAACATTTGGGAACATTCTGGAAATTCTGCCAGGACATTTATTCTAATGGCTACAACAGACATGGGTATCACAATATAGAAGCACCAAATACTCCCATCACACCCTTAAGAGAAACACGGTGCTATGGCAGATAAGAATATGCATAACTTATAAAATGTTTTAGCATTTAGTAGTTTAGTATATATATAAACTAGCCTGCCTTAGCAATCTACTACCATATATCAAGGATCTGGATTCTATTTTATTTTAAATTCCTGGATTTACATCCTGGTTTCTGAAGCTTCCATGAAGAAAAACAATGCCCTAGAGACTAAACAGATTTTCAGCTTCAAAAATATAAGCCTATTAAATAAAAGCTACTCTTTAACTTTAGTAATATATATAACACGTGTGTGTGTGTGTGTGTGTGTGTGTGTGTGTGTGTGTGTGTGTGTGTGTGTGTGTGTCTATAACACATAAATTTTACCAGGCTTACCATTTTAAGTGTTTAATGAAAGTAAAAAATTTTACATTATTGTGCAATTATTTCATCTACAAAATAGTTTTTTAGTATCTACTAAAGTACTAGCTCTAGGGCAATTATTTTTAAATTATGTGGCTTTGAAATTATGTCAGCTAAATTTAGACTTACGAATGGATGGATCAGACATCACGACCATCACGTAAGTGTTAGATGTAAAGATGTCAATGAAAGCAGCAAAATTAGAGTTCCTGACTTCCATACTCTGGAATGAGGCAGCTAGCTTGCTAAAGGAGAGAGGAAAAAAATGGCTGAATGAAATAAGACAAAACAGTAGTAGCGAAACAATCTCTTTTTTATGATAAACATTTTATAGCATTATACTTAAGTTCAGAAATTCCTTAAGATGGTGTCCAGTGAAATTCAAATATTGAATTTAACATGTTTTAGAAATTGACTGGAATAGAAATTAAGTTGGGACTTAATGTTGACTAAGAAATAAAAACGGGCTTAGATCTATATCCATGTTACAAACCAGTTACAAAAGACTTTTCTAATATTTAGAAAGCATCTTAGTTTGCATTATCCCTATCACTGAGGTTAATATCTATATGACTTTAACGTTACATTTAAATCCAAGAAATGACTGCATTTCTTTGAAAATAGGGTGACTATATTTGCTTACCATTGACTATTTCTTGTAAAAAATTAACATTCTAGAAAGTCTCAAAGAATAAATATAAAGTAGATAAACTTATTCCTACTGTATAGGCATCTACCTTTCATCAGAAGCACTATTTCCATTTTTAAAAATCTTTGCTAAAATAAATTCTTTTTCCTACATTCATAATGCTAATATTCAAATATTATTAAAAGCTGACACATGATTAGACATTTCAAGACTCTCTGGTATATCACTTCTGAATCAGTTTGTCACTAGTTTAATTATCATAATTTTATAGTAAATTTTAGTCTTTAATAAGACAAATTCTCCTTCCTTCTTTTTAAAAAAGATATATTTTTTAGGATATTCCATTTATTTCTTCTTAAGAATATTGTCTTTCAAAAGGGAACTCAATATTTTTCATACAATTCTCTACTCTTTAAAGAGTTTATATAAATCACAGACCTGAGTTGATCTTTTCTTTTAAATTCCTGGATTTAGTAACTTGCTTTATGAAACTCTCATGAGAAAAACATAATACCCGAGAGGCTTCAAGACTATAAGTCTACTGACTTTTCAATAAATGAAAATGATTTTCACTTCAGTCAAATGTAGATTCCATTAAAGTTTTTTTTTTAACTAAAGGAACTATTTTGAACATATTAGTATGATCAACTAGTCATTTGAATTTCTCAAAAATGACAATAACTCTTTTCCAGCCATTAATAGATCACATGTGTAAGATCTCTTACCTACAGCTCAGCTTGAACTGCTTAATAATGTTGCTGATTTTCTCAAATCTGTGGGCATCACGCTGTTCTTTACATTGATAATGAGAAATCACCTGTGGAAGAAAAACATTGTCATTTTTTTGGTGCTAGTACTAGGGCTTGAACTCTGGGTCTGAGCACTGTTTTTTCACTCAACACTGGCACTCTGCCACTTGAGCCACAGCTCTAATTTCAGCTTTTTGGTAGTTAGCTAGATATGAGTCTCACAGTCTTTTCTGCATGGGTTGGCTTCAAATCACAATCTTTGGACTTCAGCCTCCTGCATTACACATGTGATCCACTGGTACCCAACAAACAGTGTCCTTTAAATCCATATCAAGCCAGGCACCGGTGACTCACGTTTGTAATCTTAGCTACTCAGAAGGCTGAGATCTGAGGATCGAGGTTCAAAGCCAGCCCGGGGCAAGAAAGTCCGTGAGACTCTTATCTCCAATAAACCACTCGAAAACCAGAAGTGGTGCTGTGGCTCAAGCGGTAGAGCGCTCGCCTTGAGCTGAAGAGCTGAGGGACAGTGCCCAAGCCCAGAGTTCAGCCCCACAACCGACCCCCAAAAAAATCCTCATACTACCCTCTGCTAATACCTAAAGGAGGTAACTATTAGTCTCTTGGTCATGCTAGTTTTCAGGCTAGACTTGTCATCTGACTTACTGTCTCCTCCCCTCTGTCTCATATTCTGTCAACATTGGGTGTGACTTCAGCCCTTGGTCATAACTTTATTAGATCATTCAAGTATTCTCTACAGTTGATCTTTGACTTATGATGATTTAACTTGACTTTACAATGCTGTGAAGGTGATATACATTAGGTAGAAAACAGTTTGAATTTTCTCATCCCAAAGATATACTTTTGTGATACTGAGCAGCAGCAAATGAGTAATAATTCCAGTGAGCCACAAAATTACAAGGGCAGACAAGGGATCTTAGTGTACTTGTGTTGCTAAGCTATTATGTTTAAGAAGCTAGGTAGATTAAATGTATTTTCAACTTATAATGACTTGAAAAGGACATGTACCTCATCCTAAATCAAGGAGCATCTGTATTTTAGTAAACTGAAATATTTTTTCAATTGCTTTTTTATCATTAAATGTTTGTCTTATTTCAGTTTCACCAGTCTTTGATTTTATGAACTACAAACGAAAAAGAAAAATAAATTACAACCCCTAGCTATCTATGAGACAGACATATTCAAGATATTTAATTTTAATGAAGTGTATTACCAAGGGACTTTGGGAATCCTATTTTAAAATCTTAACTAGATAATTCCAGCTCCTAAAAATTGGAATATAAAATGAGTCTGTTCAGAATGGACACTCACGCCAGCTGAAAATATTTTCCTCCTAACATTTTCTTTTTAACATTTTTTAATTATCTTTAAGTAGTTAAAGGAGTTGCCATTTAACAAATCGGTTTATGAATATAATGTCTTCATCAATGTCACCATTTCAACATTTTTACCCATCCTTCTTCTATCCACACCTATCCTCATTCTTCTTAATTTTATAAGATATACATTGGATTCTTGTCTACATTAACTCCCTCTTCTCTTCTTCACTTGTCTACCCTTTCTCGTTAACCTTATCCTATCCCTTTTGAGTACCCACTAATGGTGTTTTATTTGGCTGAACTTTTTATTTTGCCTTTCTAAGGAATTTTGATAAAATCATACAACTATCCTTCCCAGTAGGAAAACACTCATCAAAAGTAAATTCATAGGGAAATCCCTATGAATTGATGAATATGATGCAAAACCTATACAATTCCTATACTAATGGCAGAAGAGATAGACCTTGCTTGACTTAATCTCCTTCAGTAAAAATGATCAAACATACAGCCTTGTGTGGTAGATAAGGCAAGGGAATACTAATGAAGTAGGATTCTTTTGTTCCATATGCATCAAGACAAAAAGAATAGCTTACTTTCTTACTGCTACACTTACTAGTTAGAAAGAAATGGCTCTGAGTAATTCCAAACAAGCAACCTGTTACCACTAGATGGATGCACAAAGACATTCTTTGGACTCCCTGCCTCAACGGTACCAAATACTGCCATAGTTACAAACAGTGTTTCCACAAAGGAAGGAGTTGTCCACAGGGACAACATCATTTAAGACTGTTTTCCCCCTGTTGGTGTAACAGCAAAAGGAACTGACATTTAAGTTGACATACACACACACACACACACACACACACACACACACACACACACACATACACATTATGCTAGATGCTTAAAGTTATTTTGACCCATTTTAATCAACATGATAAATCTTTGATATAAGTTCCATTATCTTGTTTTATAGAAGGGGAAAATTTGCATAGAAAAATTGATAAATATGTTTAAAATCAGCCAAGCAATGGTAGAGCTCAAAAACAAAATCATTATTGGGAGATACTCCTAGAGTTATCATTTACCAGGCTAGTTAGAAATTATTTCTGTATTATGATGTAACATCTCAAACTGGTTTCTATTACTGCTATTTAAAATTTTTATTTAGGGGCTGGGAAGGTGGCTCCGTGGTAAAGCGCTTGCCTTGCATGCATGAGGCCCTGGGTTCGATTCCTCAGCACCACATAAGCAAAAAGAAAGAAAGCCAGAAGTGGCTTGTGGCTCAAGTGGTAGAGTGCTAGCCTTGAGCTGAAGAGCTGAGGGACAGTGCCCAGGCCCAGAGTTCAAGCCCCACAACCGGACCCCAAAAAATTATTTATAAAGTATTATGAGCCTATAGCCAACATTATACTTAGTGATGAAAAGTTAAAACTGTTTCCTCTAAAATCAGGAATGAGATAAGGATATATACTCTCTCTACTCCTATTCAATATAGTAGTAGAATTCCTAGCTAGAGCAATAAGGCAAGAGGCAAAGATAAAGGGGATCCAAACAGGGAAAGAAGTAAACTCTCCCTCTTTGCAGATGACATGATCCTGTATTTAGAGAATCCCATAGACTCCACTCACAAGTTACTCGAACTAATCCAAAATCTTGGGAAATTAGCAAGGTATAACATTAATCCACAAAAAATAGCTTTTCTGTATGCCAACTATGAGAGGGCAAAGCTGAAATCAAGAAAGCAACTCCTTGTGTAGTTGCCTCAAAAAAATACTTAGGAATTACTTAATCAAGGAAGCGGAGAACCTCTACAATGAAAACTTTAAAAACTTGAAAAAGGAAATTAAAGCAGATCTAAGGAAGTGGAAAAACCTCCCATGCTCCTGCATTGGGAGGATTAATATTGTAAAAATGGCAATACAGCCAAAGGTTATATACAAATTCAATGCAATACCCATCAATATCCCAACTTCTTTCTTTAATGAAATAAAAGAAGCAACCCAAGATTTCAGATGGAACAATAAAAGACCCCAAATAGCAAAAACAATCCTTAACAGGAAGAACAGTGCCGGAGGAACATCAATACCAAATTTCAAATTCTATTATAAAGCCATAGTAATAAAAACAGCTTGGTACTGGCACAAGAACAGGCCTGAGGATCAATGGAATAGAACTGAGGACCCAGAAATTAACCTGCAGATTCATGGTCACCTAATCTTTGATAAAGGAGCCAAAAACACTGGATGGAAGAAAGACAGCCTCCTCAACAAATGGTGTTGGCAGAATTGGCTATACATGTGTAGAAAACTGAAGTTAGATCCTTACATATCACCATGCACAAGAATCAATTTCAAATGGACCAAAGACCTCCAGGTAAAGCAGATATTGGTATAATCTGGGGAGGGGAAGGGAAAAAACAAAATGTTTAAATAGGGATACAGGTTGACCCATTGCAACAATAAGATGTAGAAGATACTATGTTGAAAAATGAACTTTATAATTTAGATGGGGGGGGGGTGAGTGTAGTTGTGGAGGTGGGAGGGAAGGGATGGTAGGGGAAAAATAAAGGAGGAGGCAACAATGCTTGATAAAAAATGTACTCATTACCTTGCTCATGTAACTTTAACCCCTCTGTACAGTATTTTCACAATAAAAATTTATTTTAAAAAAAGCAGATACCCTGAAAATATTATAGGAAGGAATAGGACAAACACTAGGGCTCCTTGGCACAAGTTGAAACTTTCTTAATAAAGACCCAGAAACATGACAAATGAAAGAAAGGTTAGATAAGTGGGATTTCATTAAACTGCAGCCATTCTGCACAACAAAAGACATAGCTAGCAAGATAAATAGAAAGGCCACAGATTGGGAGAAGATTTTCACTAGCCATACAGCAGACAAAAGCCTCATATCTAAAATATACTTAAAGCTCAAAAATTAAATCCCCTAATAACAAATACTCAAAGAAACAAATACCCCATTAACAAGTGGGCTAAAGACTTAAAGAGAGATGTCTCTGAAGAAGAAATAAGAATGGTCAATACACACATAAAGAAATGCTCAAAATCTCTGGTCATAAAAAATGCAAATCAAAACAACATTGAAATTCTACCTTACACCAGTTAGAATGGCCATTATCAAGAAATCTAATAAAAACAGATGCTGGTGGGGATGTGGCCAAAAGGGAACACTATTACACTTGGTGGGAGTGTAAACTGGTTCAGCCACTCTGGAAATCAGTAAGGTTCCTCAAAAGACTAAACATAGAGCTCCCCCTACAACCCAGAAATCCAACTCCTGGGCAAATGACCCAAACAGTGCCATACTAAACCTACCAGCACAACCATGTTCACTGCAGCATTATTTACCATAGCTAAGATATGGAACCAACCCAGATACCCCTCATTAGATGAATTGATCAAGAAAATGTGGTCTATATACACAATGGATTTCTAGGAGAGAGGGGAGGGGAGGGGAGGGGAGAGGGAAGGGAGAGGAGAGGTGAAGGCCACATACAAGCTAGGTACCAGTGGCTCGTGCCTGTAATCCTAGCTCCTAAAGAAGCTGAGATCTAAAGAATCATGGCTCAAGGTCAAACTTTGGCACAACAAAAAGCAAAGCTGGAGATGTAGTTCAAGTGGTAGAGTGCTAGCCTAGCAAACATAAAGCCCTGAATTCAAACCCAGTACCATTAACACACACACACACACACACACACACACACACACACACAAATATACTGAAGAACTTCTTTCCAATCACTTATTGGCAATAGTAGTTTAAAATAAGACTGCATACTGAAGTAATGACAAAAGGGAGTAAGATTCTTTTTGAAAGCAGGAATGTTATTCTCTTACTGAATAGAAAAAGTACAAAATCTATCTGTAATACTTCACTTAATATATTTTTTCCAAGTCTTTCTAGTAAAGTAAGCCAGACCCAAAGAAACATAGGTCCCATGGTTTCCCTTATTTTCAGTAACTACTATATGTCTGAGACAAGAAGAAAAGGTCAAAAGCTATATATATATATATGACCAGATAAGATGATGTTAAGTGAAATGAACCCCAAGATAGGGACACAAGTGCTTTTTTCTTGCTTGCTATTGTTTCTAATGTATTTATAGTGTACCATGTGATCTTGTTTCTTTGTATGTTCCTCCCCCTGTTTTCACTGTATTTGATGTTGGTGCCCTGCATCTTGTATATACACTTCTCTAATTTGGGGAGGGGAAGGGAAAAACAAAATGCTTAAATAGGGATACAGGTTGACCCATTGTAACAATGTGTGTGTTGAAAAACAAACTTTCAATTTTAGGCAGGGGGTGGAGAGTGTAGTTGTGGTGGTAGGAGGGAAGGGATGGTAGAGGAAAAAGAAAGGAGGAGGTGACAATGCTTGATAGGAAATGTACTCATTACCTTGCTCATGTATGCATAAAACTGTAAACCCTCTGTACAGAATTTTACAATAAAAAACGTATTAAAAATAAAAAAAATCTATCTGTAGAGCACAGTTCTTACCAGAAAAGTAGCTCGCTCAAACAGAAGTACTTCATCAGCCTCAATAATCTCAGCAAAATTCCTTAAATTCATTTCCAGCTGTTGAACATTGGGAATCAGCTGATAAACAATGCTGGACCAAGCCTAACAGAATAGAAGCACAATGTAATATTACTAACAGGTAGCCAGTTTCAGAGCTTTGAAGTGAATAAGTACAGTACAACATATAGACAGCAAAATATAATGATAATTGAGTCCCAAATAAATACTGACATTAAATATAACACAAATGAAATGAGAATATGAAGCTAACATTTGTCTTTTACCCTTTGAGTTGAGTTTTTAACTTCAAATACCTGAGAAATGCTGGAGAAACTTCTTTCCATGGATAATGAAAAGTAAACAAGTAATTTAATGTCATCATATTGCCTTAGGAAAAAAACATTGCAGAAAATGATCTACTGTGCTAAAAAGTTTCTCATCCAGATATTCAACAAATATATGAGTCCAACAGTGTAGATTGCCTTAAAAATCAGAACCTAGATATTCAACAAATACATGAGTCCAACAGTGTAGAGTGCCTTAAAAATCAGAACCTAATAACACAATATTTAACATATACCCAAGAATAATTTGCAAAAATAGTAGAGCCACATGGACAAATGGGCCCTCCCGTCAAGAGAGGATAATGAACCATTACAAGAGAAATTACTGATATATATCATTTCCAAAGCTTTGTTGTCTTCTGTAAAACTTATCAATCAATCCAATTGCATTTACAAAAGTCCACTGTGTTTGCCTAATACTGACTTCATCCAGAGGAGTTAACTACACCCTCCCTCTATTTCCTTTTCTTTGTACTTCCATTCTAATACTTCCTTACTCACACTCCAATTTGTCTGGTTAGGTGTACTTTGTTCTTCTCTCCCCTACTAGAGGGCAGGAACCTGATCTTATTCATTTTGGTATGTAGCAGCATCAAGCAGATAGGCAATGAGTGCTTGTTGACAAAAACTTAACATAAAAATTTAAGTCAGTTCTATGCAACATTGATGTAAGATAGTAGTGCCATGTCTCTGTTCCAATTAGTTTTATTACTTAGGCATAGGGGTTCAGGTTCCAAGTTCCCAAGTCGGTGTTAATGTCACTGCTGAATTTACCTTGGAGAAGGCACCAAAGCTAACCACAGCAGAGACATTGTCACTCACAGCAGTGTTGTGATTAGCCAATTGTCTTTGGTCGTGTTATGTATTGCCATCCTTCACACCGCAGTTGGTTCTTATCAGTGCGTCATGTCCATCCTTATTCACGGTTACCTGTTCTATGGGAATAAGGCTTTGAGAGAAATTCGGCCCATATCAATCTAGAACAGTACTTCCTAGACAGGTATCTCAAATGATGTTATTAGAGTGAAGCTGGTCAACGTAATATTGGGGGGAAAAGTATATTAGTTTTAAAAAGAGCAATGGCTATTTTTGAAGTCCAATGTCTGTTCTCCTTTGTAAGTCAGGTTTCTGTGTTTCTGGTTGTAGATACTTGTCAGATGCAGTTGAGACTGAGGTTCTAGCTACCAGTGACAGAGAAGGATCCTTTGCCTCCCAGAGTCAGACTTGTTAATGGATACAGAAGCAGTCTGAAGGAAAAGTATGACCACAGGAAGACACAAAAGGAGCCAGTCCTTACATCACTAGATCAGTAGGAAAAAGTAGTCTATTTGCTAATAAGGATAACTTTGGCTTCATCCACATGAACTAATGTTATAACCTCTATAATTACTCCAAGGAGGGTGGCATCTGCCCCAGCAATGGAAACAATCCTTCTGGTTGAAAGAATGCTGGTCTCCAGTTCTGGTATAAAAGTTGAGCCTACTCTACATTCTAGGCATAATGTGTCTCATTTTAAAATTACATTCTCCAATTTCTCCACGAAATAGTTTTCTTCCAAACTTAGGCAGACTAGCTTCTATCATTACCATGTAAGTAATTACTCAAATACTAGATACAGCTCCAATCAGCATTGAGATCACAACAGGTCAAAATGGATGATAGCCATTTAGAGCAACTTCTGTTATCACAAAGACTAGGATCAAATTAATTACAACCAAACTGGATAATTCAGTGTGACCTGGTAACAATGTCAACCCAATCTAAGTTTAAATCCCTACTCTCTAGATGATGATTAATGATGTTTGATAGTCTTCAAACAATTTGTTGTATATTATTTCTTTTTAAGTACAAATCTAGATGGCTGTGAAATAGTTTAAAAATCTTTTAGTCTTGTTAAAATACCCTTCTAGCTTTTTTCATGCTCTTAAAATGAGGGAACTCAGGAAATATACACACCTTATACAGAGTTTCATCCCAGATAGATGTTCGGAAACAAGAGCATTCCAACGGGCGAGACAAACGCCTCAGATCTTCTTCTCGCTCTTTAAAAATCTGAATTAAAAAGTTCAATGTGCTGGTCAGCATATAACTGCTTACTTCTTTCATTACAAAATCTAAGACACAATTATTTCAGTGTATTTTAATTAGAAGCTTCTGCTCCTTCGTAAGCGGAATTTGGAGTATGGACATTATTTCGCAAACTAGGATAGAAAACATTTTAGGTTACCTCCTGTAGCTGCTAGAATTCTTCAGGCTTAGCCTGCGCTGAATGTTTACAAAAACTAAATTATGTTGGAAAATAAAATTTATCATACAGAGAGAGGGATCGCAATAAAACATATCTAATACTCCATTCACCAAATCTGGGACATTTTAAGATAGTTATATCTATATCAGTACTTTGTACTTTAATCTTTTAATGTATATTTTCTTCCCCATATATATATTTATACCCATTATTTACATGTATACTATATTTAATTAACATATAGATAAGAACTATCAAATCCACAAAATTACCTAACAATTTTGGATATGCTTCTATTACTATATGCCTAAATATACATAGATATATCACACACACAGATACTTTTTCCTGATGGGTAGATTGGCAGTATGTGTGTGTGTGTGTGTGTGTGTGTGTGTATATATATATATATATATATATATACACACACACACACACACACACATATATACATATACATATGTACATGTATATATGTATATATACATGTACATATGTATATGTATATATACATGTATATATATACTATATATACTTAGTTCAGCTACAGTACCTAGACAACTGGTAAAATAACAATCTGGATGCTTTTACAAAGGAAGTTTTTAAAAGAGATTAACATTTAAGTAAGTAGACTTTTAGTAAAGCATATTACCTTCCACAATGTTGGTGGGCTACATAAATAAGTTGAAAGCCTTAAGAGTAAGAGACTGACATTCTGAAGAAAAAGGAATTCTGCCTCTAGACTGCCTCTATACTGTGATATGTAAGCTCAGTTTTTCCACAGGTCTATAGTTTGTGGGTGTGCCCTACAGAATTCAGACTTGCCAGTCTCCACAATCATTAAGCCAGCCAGTTTCCCTAAAATAAACTAGCTTCTTTGCCTCTGTCTCTTAGGGTTTTTTCCCTCTCCCTCCTTCCCCTCATCACATATGTGTGTGTATGTGTTTGTGTATTCTCACACTCTGCTTATTGATTCTGTTACTCTGGAGACCCTAATGCAGATTTTAGAACTGAGAGTTCTAGAAGAGAATCTTAAGTATTTTGAAGTTTCTGAAATTGGTTTCCTAGTATATTTGTATTTAAAGGTGCTAATGATCCTATTTCCAGTAGTAAAAAGAGCACTGATAGTTAATGGTATGATTTGGCAACAGAAATACTGAAGATTCCTAGCAAAATACTTAAAAGATACAAGATTCTGTGTACAAGATTCATATGTAAATGAATTACTTTTGTCCAAATGTAATACTAACAAAATATCCAGACTGATGTTATCTGTGCTAGACAAAGGGGGGAAAGAAAAGGATGAGCTTTGAATGAGATTTGAATCCCCAATCCAATCACTGCATAAACCACCTCAAGGTCTCTGTATTTGCCCTGAAAGAACCCCTTACTTCCTAGTCATAGACTGAAGAAAGATTGCTGAAAATTAAATTTAGAATTCATCATATGAGTAGCCAAACAACAATGCATATTGAATTGCCAGTTTTACAGAGTATCTGCTGTTAAAGCAAGGGCTGACTATAAAGGAATGGGATGTGAGAGATTGGAATAAAGGTCATATAAGACTTGGGAAAAGCCTGGGGACACTGAAGTTCTAAATTCTCAAGTCTTCACAAGTAGAAGCAGACAGTCCATTTCTACTTGAGATTGACCCTATTTTGCCTGAAGAAACTATAATGGCCCACTCTGAGGGATTTTTGCAGGGATATGCAGGGATTTGGGTTGCCTTTCCCTTTTATAAGATATTACACTGGTCAATTACATTGATGAAAGTGCACCAAATGGATCCACCAAGCAAGAATTAGTTCTAGAGGCACAAGGTCAGAGCTACTTGTATATGTGTGATCTAAGAAAGATCCTTTTCTATTGGTGGTTATTTTCTTTGACCAGGCATGCAGCTTCAAGAGGGATATGTATAGAATGGAGTGGGGGAGGGGAGAGAACACCCAAGTAGCCATCAGGTTCGGCTAAATCTTCCTAGTGATCAATGGGGTGAGAGACAGCCACAGCCAGATTGCTTTATATCTGACCCCTACCATTTCTCCTAGCCACAAGCTAGACTCAAAATCCCAGAAGATACAAGGTACAAAGTGTCTGCCATGAGAAAGGGTCCTACATCACAGAAGAATGATATAATTTTTTCCAATCTATATAGACTAGAAAATAGGGACCAGGTGTAGGAACCTCTATCCCTGCATCTTGTGTTTGATGATGGCACTAGTCTCAAGAATCCCTTCAGTAACTTGAAATTGCTTTTGACTTACTGTTTTTCTAGGTAGAAGCAGTTCCAGTGGCTTCTGCTTGGCTTTTTCTATCATAATGATAGGAAAGGTTAGGTAAGGTCAAGGTAAAGGTAAAGGTAAGGTAAGGTAAAGGATCCAATATGGGGATTCTACCGTATTTCTAAGTACTATTTCAGTTAGCAATGTTGTATTCCAAAATTGGGAGAGTCATGACAGTACGATTTTGGAGACCTAATGGGCCCGCTGAGACAAATTGGAAGTAAAATTCCATTGACCATCAGACCTCCTTAAGTCTCAATTCTGACTATTGCCATTCCCCCCACCCCTACTTCTCCCCAAATCTCACGAGATATCATTTGCTTTTAGGTGGCAAGACCAACAATACACCTTCAATTAACCTACCAACTGGGGAGCTACCAGCTGTCTAGCCCTATGTAATAATCTAATTTGCATGGATTTTGGTTACCTTTTCCTTTTACAGATATTACACTGGTCCATTACATTAATGAAAATGCACCAAATGGACCCACCAAGCAAGAAGTAGTTATTCTAAAAATATATCTGCATATCAAAGGGGAGGAAATAAATCTCAAAAAAAAAACTCAGGAGTTCAACCTCAGTGAAATTCCTAAAAGTCCAGTGTTGTGGGACATGCTGAGATACTCTTTCTAATAAGAATAAATTGTTTTGACTGGCCTATTCCACATCCAAGAAAAAGGCACAATGTATAGCAAGTCTGTTTGGATCCTGGAAGCAACACATTCCTTACTTGGATGTGTTCCTCAAGCTTACTTACCAAGTGATTGACCTAATAAGCTACTGGCCTTGAGTATTGCCTAGGATAGAAGACTGCCTGTTAACAGGTCCAGGCTGCTATGCAAGCCTCTCTGCCTCTGGGACTGTATCATCTAGCAAATCCAAGGTTGTGTGAAATGACTGTGGCAGATGGGGATTCTTTCAGGAGCTTTTGGGAGGTCCTATAGGTTAAGTCTAACATATACCTCTAAGGATGAAAGCCATCCTCCACAGGTACTTTCCATTTGGAAAACAGTTCTTGGCTTATGGAATTTGCAGTGGTTATAGATAGACTTGGGTAAGCAGAGATGTGGCTCAGGTGGTAAAGCACTAGCCTTGAATGAAAGCTCAGGGACAGAGCCCAAGCCCCAAGTTCAAGCCCCAGAAACAACCCCCCCCAAAAAAAGGAGCGAATGAATGACAGTGAAGGGTTTGAGTCCAATCAAGATATATTGTATGCATATATGGACACGTCAAAATGAAATCCCTTTGTCATCTAATTGATGCTCCTAAAAAATGTGGGAATTTTTTTTAAATATAAAGGCTGTCACATTGTCCACTAGGTGGCAATACCTTCCAGGGCTAGGGAAAGGTTCTCTAGAGGTGGTAAATGCTGTTCAGTATATGGTGCTTTTTCTTCCATCATGAGGATTCATAAGTCCAGGATACAAAGTGTAGCATCACTTGCTATCTGCCTGCCATCACCAAGGATAGGAGATAAAGTTGTTGTTTCTTGCTCTTGTCACCTTATATTCTCCCTGCCTGCAGGTCTCAGTTCTTTCATCATCATCATTACCTTTAAATAGGTGTAAAAAGGTCTTTCAATTCCACATGTCAGGTCACAGTTCTAAAGGCAGGAAACACAAAAATAATTCCACCAAAATGGAGATTAAGAGTGCTACTCAGCCACAAAGGGCTCATTGTGCCTCTGGATCAAACTGCCAACCTGTGTTATTGATCCTGACTATCAAGGTGGAAGCTGGACCATTTCCTCACAAAACAGATAAGGAAAGGTATCTCCGGAATACAAGAGATTGCTTAGGCCATCTCCTAGTAATATCATACTTTAAAGTGTTAGAAACTATAACTTCCTAATCTATGCATTTCTGCTAAGGTCATACCACTAGGAATATTAAGGTCTGGTTCAGCCCTCATGTAAAGAACTACAATCAGCTGAGATGCTTGCTGTAGGCAAAGGAAATGTGGAACTCTAGAAGGTAGCTTAGTAGCTGTAACACATGACTAGTTATATAAATAAGTATATGTCATGAGTATATATATAATCATAAGCTGGTTTCCTTCTGGCTTATTAATGTAAGATTTTTATATACTTTATATACTATTTACATCTTAATACTTAACTTACATGATATTAAGCAGAACAGTAAATACTATCCCAGGACTTTGCATACATTTGGGGTTAAAAGGGTTAGTCTGTTTCTAATTGTATGCATGATAGTTGTATCATGTAAAATGGAAATATGACCTTGTTATTATATTTATCTGGAGCCTAAGTAAGGTTTCAGGAGATGAGTATGACTGTCCTGTTGACAAGGAGTAGACCATAATGGTTACTTTTATATGGTAACTTGGCTATGTTATAGTAGCTAGATATTTGGTCAAATAGTAATATAGATTTTGCTGTGAATATACATTTCAGATGAGATTGTCATTGAATTCACTAGACTTTGGGAAAAACAGATTACTCTCCATTATGTGAGTGGTCGTTATCTGTCATTTAAAGGCCTCAAAGGCAAACAGTTCACCCTACTTTCTAATTCTAACTGCCACATAATTCCCACTCCCTAGCCTATCTGTCTGCTCTCAAGATTTCAGGCCCATTACCCCTTTATAACGAATACTTACTGTCTTTTTTGTCTTTCTATACAAAGATATCTCACTGGTTCTGTTTCTCTGGAAAACCCTATCACATACACACACATACGCATACACACACGGAAATATCAAAGCTTAAATTTATATTTTAGGAAGCACTCTCATCATTTTAAAGCTTTTCAAGAATAGGTCTTTAGTGAAATTAAACATTTTCTTAAGTTTAAAATTACTTAAAAAATATTAACCTAGTTGTAAAGCAGAGACAGGAAGATCACAGTTCAAGGTCAGTATAGGCCAAAAAAGTTAGCAAGATTCTAACACAATTAACAAGCCAGGCTTGGTGATATATTCCTGTAATTCCAGCAACAAAGGTAGGTAGGCGTACAGTCTGCGCCAGTCATACAAAGAACCCATGACTCTAGCTTAAAAAACATAACAAACAAAACAAAAAACCCAAAAAACCTAAGCCAGGCTGGCATTGGTAGCTCATACCTGTAATCCTAGCTACTCAAGAGGCTCAGATCTGAGTATTGGAATTTGAAGGAAGCCTAGGCAGAAAAGTGCTTGAGATTCTTATCTCCAATTAACCACCAAAAAAGCCAGAAGTGGAGCTATGGACCAAATGATAGAGCACTAGACTTCGGCAAAAGAATCTCAGGGAAAAATGGCAAAGCCCTACCCCAGGACAGGCAGGCACACACGCACGCACGCACCCACACACACAACAACAACAACAACAACTAAAGCAAAAAAGGGGCTGGAGGTGTGGCTCAAAACAGCACTAGCCTAGCAAGGTACTGTGTTCATACCTTAGTATCACTAACTCCCCCCCCCAAAAAAACTGAGAATATCTGAAGATATTTATATTGGCACGTAGGAAAAAAATAACATGATCACTCAAAACAAAAAATGGCTGAAACATACATCGTGAGCTCATTTGTTGAAATGCTCTAGGATTTTCTACTGCAATTCTAAGGAATTAAATTACTTTTCCAGTGTTGGGAATTGAAGCTAGGACTTCATTTATACAAGGCAAGCACTCTAACTACTCTAAGCTATATCCTCAATCCTTGAATACTTTTTGCATGTGTGTGTGTGTGCTAGTACTCGGGCTTCAATTCAAGGCCTCATACTCCCACTTGGCTTTTTGCTGAAGGCTGGTGCCCTACCATTTGAGCACTCCTCCACTTCTAGCTTTTTAATAGTTAATTTAAATTAAAAAAATCTAATGGACTTTTATGCCTAGGCTGACTTCAAACCTCAATCCTCAGATACCAGCCTCCTGAGTAACTAGGATTACAGGCATGAGCCTCTGGGGCCTAGCTCCTGAAATGCTTTTTAAAAGAAATAGAACAAAACATCAACAATAACAAAACTCTCAAAAACCCAAGACTCATAGTACACACATTATTTCCTAAGATAGGAAGGGGGGGAGCTAAAAATACCAATGGAAACATTGAATATTCAAAAGTAGTATTCTGAGCCAGGTGCTGCAGCTTGGGCAGGAAAGCCCCTAACACTCTTATCTCTAATTAACCACCAAAACAGCAAGAAGTGGATCTGTGGCTCAAGTGGTAGAGCACTAGCCTTCAGTAAAAAAAAAAAAGAAAGAAAAGAAAGGAAGGAAGGAAGGAAGGAAGGAAGGAAGGAAGGAAGGAAGGAAGGTCAGGAACAGCACCCAGGCCCTGTGTTCAAGCCCCATGACTGACAAAAAAATGTATTCTGAGTCAAATATAGAAGCCTTCCAAAGCTAAACAGCAAAACACTGGAAGCAATCCTGTAACAATACCACAACTATTGTCAAGAAAGTATTTAGTCTAAAGATATTCTGACACTTTTACATTCCAACTCAAGAAGGAACTATATTCTTTTACAAGACAAATATATGCTAAAACTGCTTTCCCTACTTTTACTGTAGGGCATATTAGACCTTAAAATCCCATCCTCTTGTGCTGAACAAACTGACTTGCCTGTCCTACAGTCTCATACCTAGGAATTTACTATTTCTACTGTATCTTTTCTATAGTGGGCCTTGAGCACTCTCTTGGCTATTAAGAGTTTTGTTTTGTTATGTTTCGTTTTGTTTGTCAGTCGTGGGGCTTGAACTCTGGGCCTGGGTGCTGTCCCTCAGCTCTTCAGCTCAAGGCGAGCGCTCTACCTCTTGAGCCACAGCACCACTTCTGGTTTTCTAGTGGTTAATTTGAGATAAGAGTCTCAACGGATTTTTCTGCCTGGGCTGGCTTTGAACCTCGATCCTCAGATCTCAGCCTCCTGAGTAGCTAGGATTACAGGCATGAGCCACTGGTGCCCAGCTTATTCACAGTTTTTAGTTGTTGTTGTTTTAAGACACAGGCTGTTGCTATCTCTTAGCTTTTTCACTCAAGGTTATTCCAGCTAACCACTTCAGGAGGCTCAGATCTGAGGATTGGGTTTGAAGGAAGCCTAGGCAGAAAAGTCTGTGAGATTCTTATCTTTAATTAACCACCAAAAAAGCCACAGCTCCACTTTCAGCTTTTGGAGGGTTACTTGGAGATAAAAGTCTCATGGATTTTCCTACCAGAACTGACTTCAAACCTAGATCCTCAAATCTCAACCTCCTGTGTAGCACCCACCTGGGCTATTCTGGTTTATGACCAATTACCTAATTGGTTTTTGTAGGAGTAGTGACAATATTGTCCCTATGATGTTTTCTTTGATTTAAAATTATATGTACTAATTCATTCATGCCAAAGAGAATATACTTCCAGTACCATTATGAGGGATTTTTCATAGTGCCTTACATAGCATGCTTGTTGTTACTTAAACTGATGCATATACAGCTTTCATAGTAAAACAAGGGGAAATATATTTATAAAGTAAGCCAGGTGTGGTGGCTCATAGATATAATTCCAGCTACTTAAAAGGTAGATAGGAGGATTCTGGTTTGAGGCCAGCCTGGGAAAAAAATTAGAGAGGCCCTATCTCAGCATCAAACCAGGTATGGTAGTTCCTGACTATAAATTTATCTATATGAGAGGCAAATGCAGGAGGATTTCAGTTTGATGCCATCTCCAGGCAAAAGCAAAAGACCCTTTCTGAAAAATAACTAAAGCTCAAGAGAACTGTAGGCATATGTCAAGTTTTAGAGTACCTGCCTAGCAAACACGAGGCCATGAGTTCAAACTTCAGTACCACCAATAGATCAGATTATATAGATACTGCTTAATGATACCAATTCTGAAAATTATTTAAGTGAATACTGTCTTTCCTTTACCATGGAAAATATAGTCAAGAATTTCATTTAAGGGGCTGGGAAGGTGGCTCAGTGTTGGGGGGTTTGCTTTGATGCCTGAGGCCCTGGGTTCGATTCCTCAGCACCACATAAGCAAAAAGAAAAAAGCCGGAAGTGGCGCTGTGGCTCACATGGTAGAGTGCTAGCCTTGAGCTGAAGAGCTGAGGGACAGCACCCAGGCCCAGAGTTCAGGCCCCACGACAGGACCCAAAAAAAAAAAAAAGAATTTCATTTAAGATAGGGTCTCACCATGTTTCTCAGGTTGGTCTTGAACTCATTGGACCAACTGATCCTTCCACCTCAGCCTCTTAAGCAGCTGAGACTATAGGGATGTACCACCATGCCAAGCTAAGAATGTTTGTTAAAAACAAATGACAGCATTTCGGCCTGACAGTTTTTTTCCAGAACATAAATACTACAAATACCTATACTTCCACAAAAGAAACCCACAAAGCATGTCAATCATTTGGCCTAACACCTTTACTATTTCTTACCAGGTCCCGTTGATCTTCTTGTACCAAATCCATTTTGTGAACCAAGCAAAAGATTTTGGCGTCTGGAGAGTTCTGTAGAATGGCTTCCAGGCATGACTGGTAATAGTGCATGTCCTTCTCAAGTTCCCGGCTCTCCACATCAAAAACATAAATCAGAACCTCTACATTTCGGAAGATGTTGTCACGTTGGCTAGTGAAATAATTTTCCATGAAGGTGTCTTGTCTGTTTAGAAAACAAAATCTAGATAGTAAGCAAGCCCTTGGTTCAATTACTCCTACTTACGATCTATTTTTGTTAAGTGAAAAATAATCTATGACTTTAATTTAGAGAAAATAATAGCAAACAGGTTGGAGGATCTTGAGCCTTGAGCCAAAATTTACAAACTTGTATCCTCTCTGCCCATTCCTCAAGTCCTGAACACACTGACATTCTCCGTTCCTCTTGTGGCCGATTTGTAACCCATAGGGGTGTGGGGGGGGTCCTGGGGTTTGAATTCAGGGCTTGGGTGCTGTATCTGAGCTCTCTACCACTTGAGCCACAATGCCACTTCCAGCTTTTCCTGAGTAGTTGATTGGAGGCAAGTCTCGTGGACTTTTCCTGCCTAAGCTTACTTTGAACCTCAATCCTTTGATCTCAGCCTTCTGAGAGTAGCTAGAATTACAGATGTGAGCCACCAGCATATAGCTGTGCATGATTTTTAATTGATGCATTAGTTTCCTAGATAGCAAGGTAATAATAATAACCCCATAACTCCTCAGCTTTTCTTTTTAGTATTGGGGTGCAGACTCAGGGCCTCATATACTCGCTCAACTTGCTTGCTCAGCTGGCACTCTACACTTGAGCCATGTACCCAGCCTAGATTTTGCTGGTTGGTTGGAGATGGAGTCTCACATTCTTTTCTGCCTGGGTTGGTATTGAACAGTGATCATCCAGATCTCAGTCTCCTGAGTAGCTAGGGTTACAGGTATAAGCCACCAGTGTTCAGCCAATTTCTCATCTTGAAAAGAATGTTAGATGCTCAGTGAACATTTCCTGAATCAATACCGTACTAGCCAAATATTCTAAAACATGAAAATTACTTTAGTGATAACCTTTTAGCAGAATGTTATTCTTTGCTGTTTAATCTGAGTTCCACTTCCCAAAATGTTCTTCAGTTAACTTCTGAAGAGCAGAAAACAGCAGCATTGTATAGTAGGGGGAAAAGTCAGGAATCTAGGTTCAATGTTATGCACCTGCTGCTAATTAGTGTGTGACCCTGGGAGAATCATAATCTCCCCAGACTTCAGTTGTCTTACCTGTAAAAATAAACATCACATCTTAGTCTCCAAAAGCAAAGGACTTGGACTGATTTCTTAGTATAGATTAGAGAAATAGAAGTAATAATGAGAAATGGTTGCTAGACTGTTATGTGATCCATCTGCTCACAGGAATGGGATCATTTTCTTAGAGACTAATTATTACATTATTCTTTCAAAAAATATTAACTGCGCACCTATTCTATATATGGCTGGGAAATATTGAGTTGGCAATAATATGATTTTCACTTTGCATATATTATCTTCTGGTCATCAAAATAACCCAGTAAGTTGGAATCATTACTTTCCCTCTTTTTTTTGTGGTTGTTGTTGTTGGTCACGGGGTTGAACTCTGGGCCAGGGCGCTGTCCCTCAGCTTTTCAGCTCAAGGCTAGAGCATCTACCACTTGAGCCACAGCACCACTTCCAGTTTTCTGGTGGTTTATTGGAGACAAGAGTCTCATAGACTCTTTTGCCCAGGCTGGCTTTGAACCATAATCCTCAGATCTCAGCCTCCTTAGTAGCTAGGATTACAGGCATGAGCCACTGGTGTCCAGCTACTTTCCCTCTTGTACAGATGAAGAAGCTGTAGCTCAGAAGCTCAGCTTCTGATCTGTCCAAGATAACACACTAACAGAACTGAAATTAAACCCTAGTGTAACTCTAGTGCTTGCATTCCTAGTCACTGGGTATTGTACAATGCTGTTTCAGCACAAAGATGCAAATAACCATAGGACAGAGAGTAACATCAACATACAATCACAGTGAGTGTGCCTTAGTGATGGAATATTTTCTGAGTGCCTTGTCATGAGAGAAAACATTGTCTCCTTCTTGTCCAACAACGGGTAACTCAGAATAAAATCTCAGCGCTAAGCCTACTTTTAGATAATGATGAAATAACTAAGAACGAAATAGTCTGGTATAATGATAGTAAGACCTCTCTCAGCACTGGTATTGGACCATCTGAGACACAAATCTAACTTATGTTCTTGCAAAACAAGGGATTATCTACCCATACTACACATACTTAGGTCAAGCATGGAGCTTGTATTAGAGCTATTTAAACACATCACAAACAAAGGATATTTGCACAAACTTAGAGATCTTTATCCATGAAGAAATTTCTACCCAATGTACCTATTACAAGTGACAGTTCCTCTAAGTGTATTTGCCATGCTGACTGTATAAGATGTCATGAGTATTATCATCAATTTCACAAACAAATAAGCAGATGGTACTTACCCACCACAATCCCATAGGTTCAAAACCAGGTTTCCCAGAAATCGGACATGAGAATGTTCTACATCAACTGGAAGACAAATATAATAAATCTAGTAATTGAAGCAAGCACAGTAAAATTTAAGACAAGCAAAGCACTAGCCCACGGACTTTAGAAGGACCAAAGTGGAGTGAAATGCTCAAAGCCACAACAAGAAGGTGATTTTCAGCTTAGTAACGTGGTTTAGTGGCAAGGAGGGCACAACTAAACTAACTTCAGCTATGTAAGTCATTTTACATTTTAGTAGTTTAGTACTCAGTGCAGAAACAATCTCCAATTATAATAACAATGTTAAAATTTAACATGTAAGACAATGACATAAACCACTTAATAGATTGTCCTGTTCCACCTGCACTTACCAATTTCCCTCACAAAAATAAAACAAAAACAAAAATCAAACATAAAACATTGCAAAACTAGTTCCTGTACAGATTTCCCTTTCAGTTAATGATGCTACTTTTTCCCCATTTCTGACATCTCTGTCCACATTCAATTCAATTGTAATCTCTCTTAATTCCATTCTTTACTTAACCCACCACCATCATTAAAGAAGGCCCTTTTCATCTCATGCCTAAACTGCTACTAGAGCTCCATAACTGACAATCTTACCAGAAAGACTTATCCACTTTACTTCCTCCTAAAGGCTATTGGCATGTTCATCTTCTTAACACTACTTTGAACATATCACTCCCCATTCAAAACACTTTCAATGGCTTCTCCAAGCCTAAAAGGGCATTCAAGGTCCTTCACAATTTAGCTTCCAATCTATCTTTATATTCCCCCAATAAATCATATTAAGGAAGCCTTTCACTTGAGTCCAATTCCGTTTATTCACAGTCCTCCCAAATCCCACTAACTCCCCAACCCTCAAAATACTTTACACATCAGGGGTCGCAAACTTGCTCATAAGAGCCTGGCCAGCAAAGGTACACCCTCAAAGCTGGCCACAGAATATTGGCTCAAGGTTACCAGACCTTTCATTTTTTTCATTAATAGTAGGAAATGCAGGTTTTAAAGGAAACTTTTACATGTAACAACTAACTCCAATTTTTCTTAAACAATATGTAGGCCAAACAAAAGTATCTATAGGCCTTATTCAGCACAAAGATTATCTGTTTGCGACCTCTGTCTCACATTTCCCTCCCCCTATACTTAGCCTATTCTGTTGTTCTGCTGGAAAGGCCTCCCCATTTTCTTTGCAAAGTTATATTTACCTCTTAAGACCCACAGTAAATCCCACCTCCTCTGAAAGCCCTGCCTGGAAATCCCCACTTACCGTCCTCTCTCCCTCTGAATTCATCCAAACATTTAGTAACAAGCATCTACTCTCTGCCAGGCACTTAAGATTCCCAAGGAAAAACTAAATTTTTATGCCCCAAATTTCTCAAAGTCTAGTAATTGTTATCTACACAATTTAATGGGACAGATTCATCACCTAGTATCATTTCTTCTTTGACTACCTCCAAGCTGTTGCTTTGACTGCTAGCTACGTTTTGTGCAATTTTATCTTCTCATAATCTAGATCACAGCCAACAAAGTATTATGGAATAAAGCATAAACATTTTGGAGTCAAAGAGACCTTAGTTCAAGTATCAGTTCCACCTCTGTGTGATCTTGAGCAAGTCATTTAAGATCTGGGTATTAGCTTCTACTCCTATTTTAAAAAAGAAAGAAGGGGCATAATACTGACCTCCCAGAATTACTGGGAGGATTCAATGAGTGCCTGGCACATAGTAGGTACTAAAACTACTTCCCTTCTCCCCTTTAATTCCCCCTCCTTGGAAAAGGAATCATATCTTACATGTCTTTGTATTTCCAACAGAGTCTACGAGAGAGTAGGTGCTCAAACTGCTATTAATTTGAAGACTATGTATACGGTCTAGTACTAAAAAAAAATGGAAAGAAGTGCTACTGAGAAAGGGAAAGACAATAACAAAAGAAGTGACAGGATTCAGTGACTGTTTAGATAGGGGGCACATGGGATAGAAATCTGGTTTCTATTCCCATGTCACAGCAATAGCTTTCATCAAGTGACCAATGGCCCCATTACCAAATCCAGTGGACATTATAGTCCTTGTCTTACTTTCTGCAGTATGACACTGTTGACTACTCTCTTCTCAAAAAAAAACTTCTCTTGGTCTCTAATATTGTACCTACAAACTTTCTGGAATTCTCCTTCATAGGCTCCTATTCTTCTTTCTATCCCTTAAATGTTAGAGTTCTTCAGGACTCCATCCTTGGTCATCTTTGTATTCTTCTCCAAGACAAGATCATCTATTCATATTGCTTTAGTTTCCACTTGGGATATACAAGTGGTATAGCCTTTTCTCCTACCTTTCTCCTCTATTGTACATCTTCACTTAAAGAAATAAACAAATATCACAAATTCAAAATATCCATCTGGAACCCATCTCCTCTTTCTTCCCACAAACTCTATTCCTCTTTCAATGTTCTCCACTTGAGTGGAGATGCCTAAGTGAAAAAACTCTAGTTCTGTTCTTTCTCTCACTATTCTCACCAAATCTAATAGTCAAATTCTACTGACTGGACCGCTTTAAGTATACTGCAAATCCCTGAACTTCTCACCATCTCTACCACTACTAGCCTAACCCAAACCAAGCCCCTGTCATCTCTTACTTGGTCTACTAAAGTAAGTTAATTATTTTCTATTGTTTCTATACTTGCCTCCCTCCACTCTGTACTCCATATTATACACAGAATGACCTCTCCAAGAGGCAGACTTTTTGAGTGTGTGTGATGATCCTGGGCTTGAACTCAGGATCTAGGCTAGTCTTTGAGGCTTTTTTTTTCTGCTCAAAGCTAGTATTTTACCACTTGAGCCACAGCTCTACTTCTGGCTTTTGGGTGGTTAATTTGAGATAAGAGTCTCACAGACTTTCCTGCTAGGACTGGCTTCAAAGCACAATCCTCAGATCTCAGCCTCTTGTGTAGCTAGGAGTACAAGTGTGACCTACTGGTACCTGGCAAAGAGAGAGATGTTTATTCCATTCTTCAAAAAGAAAAGGAATATGTCTCTTTGTATATGCATAAATGTATATGCCAATAAAGGTCATTTGGTAACCTCTGAACTACTAAAGTTCAGGAAATTGCCTTTACAGTGAAGGAGAGAATAGACTTTCTACATTCTGTAGTGTTTGCATTTCTCACAAATATTACTTTTGTAATTAATATTGGAAATAGGAAATAATCAAATATAAATCTGATTGATAAACTTTCAGTTTAAAACTAAGGGCCTTCAGTTCAAACTACCAAACTTGGCATAGAAAGTATTTTTTGTTCTACTCTCACTTCTTGCTCTCCACTTAGCCTTAAGATCCCTATACTACCTGTGCTTTGCCTCTTCTGTCTACTTGTTATGAGAGTTAACTGAAAAGGAACCAAGAACAGAATTTTGGAGACTCATATACATTTATGGGGCAGAAAGAAGAAAATATTATCATAAATATTATCTTTCTTTTAAAAAAGTAGGGCGGGATGATTAAAGATAAAGGAAGCAAACCAGGGTAATAAAAGCATTAAATAAAAACCAAGAGAACAGAGAATTTTGAGAAGGGAGGAAATCTTGGAGCCGTCAACAGTGTTTGGGTCTGAAACACCTCAGAATCATATTTTTAATGACAAATTTACTATTTCCACAAAACATTTTAACATCCACCTAATAAGTTAATAGCATCATCATTTCTTTCCTTCAAAGTTTAAAACACAGTAGGCTATAAGTGTCACAAAATAAAACTGGACTTTTTCAGGAATGACAAATTAGGAACGCACTAACACATTATAGTCAAACAATATTTTTTAAGTATTCTTTTACTACTTTTAAAGAAAGAAACTGAATAAAAAAGATTTATCAAGTTAAAACCAATGCAATATATGCATTTTGAACCAGTCTGTATGTTTAGCAATAAAACCTCAACCTTTGTTCAGTGACACAACAAACTAGTTCATGATACACTAAAGCCTTGGGGCCAACATAACATTTTAAAGTATTTTTTACTACTTTTAATGAAACAGAAATTAGAGCGTTATCAATAAAGTTCCCACCTGAGAATCCTTAAGGTCAAAAGTCCTGTACCATTCAGTATCTGGCACACAGGAAGCTACAGAAACATACTTGTAAAATAAATGGCCTACTTTAATGAGTAGGATTCATATAATGAACAATGTTTTTCTCATAAAGGGTTGTCTAATTATGTCAAAACTACTTTTAGAAGTTTGACTAGTCCTGAAATTTTGATGGCAATACTATTCACTGGACTTGGTTATTAATTAATGCTGCTGATAAGCTAAAATCCCAGTTGATTTTTGGGGGGGGGCGGGGGAGTTGTGTTTGTTTTTTATTGTTGGTCGTGGGCCTGAACTCTGGGCCTGAGTGCTGTCCTTCAGCTCTTCAGTTCAAGGCTAGCACTCTACCACTAGAGCCACAGTGCCACTTCCAGCTTTTTCTGCTTATGTGGTGCTGAGGAATTGAACCCAGGGCCTCATTCATGAAAGGCAAGCACTCTACCACTGAGCCACCTTCCCAGCCCCAAAATCCCAGTTTTTGTATCACTGATATAGGAAAAAGTATTTCAATAAAATGTGCAGAATTTAAAACACAAAGAGAAAGAAGCCTGTTGGGAATTGTTAAGAGTAGTGTAAACCAGATAGGCTGTGATGTGATAAACAGAAGGTGAGCATAGAGTTGCAGTCTAGCTCTCAGATTTACTAGCTGAGTGAACATAATTTTCTGTCATATGTTTATCATCTCTCAGAAGAAAGTTACTATGAAGACTTAAGTAAATAAAACATTGTAGATGAACCTACCAACAGTTTGATAAATATTAGCTTCATGTAATCTATTGGAACCACACAAATACTAGGCCCAAATATTGAAGTTAGAAGAAAATAATTGTAAATGTTATCTATCAAGACAGATATTTGGCAAGCTGCCTTTTCAGGGGCCAGATGTCAGCTCTACATGTATGATATACCATAGAAACTATGATGGGATACTTATTCAATGTACAAAGCTAGGAAGGACAGTTCATATATCAGATGAGAGAATAAGTAGTCAAAATGATAACTGGATTCAACCCCTTTCCTATGGATAAAATCCTAAAGTGAGGACCTAAAAAACAGTGCCTTGTCTTGGCTTTCATAATTAACAAACACAGGGCATTGAAATATTTCATGAGCTAACAAAAACTGAGTCATTAAGTATAAATAAGAGCTTATGCATAGGCTTAAATACTAATTGCATAAGAATCAGAAGAATGTATATGTGTGTATTCTCATATATATATACATATATATGTATATACACATATATATGTATATATACATATATATGTGTATATACATATATATGTGTATATATATATATATATATGAATTGAAGTGCTTTTAGTATAATATAATGAAACCTACCCCTGACAAGGGTTACACTATGCTAACAGCAATGTAATGTCCAGAATAAGATATGTAATAGGCCCACTTTGCCCTGATCCAAAAACATCTGCACTCAAGTGTCGATTCAAAAATGCAAACATTTGAATAACTCCTTTAAAATACTTCAAAATTATGAGTCAAATGAGGAAGAGAGGCTAGTCATGGTGGCTCATGTCTATAATCCCATCTACTCAGAAGGCAGAGAATGGGTGACTGTGGTTCAAGGCCAGTCTAGGGGGGCTAGGAATGTGACTTAGTGGTAGAGTGCTTGCCTAGCATGCATGAAGCCCTGGGTTCAATTCCTCAGTACCATATAAGCAGAAAAAGCTGGAAGTGGTGCTGTGGCTCAGAGGGTAGAGTGTTAGCCTTGAGCAAAAGAAGCTCAGGGACAGAGTCCAGATCCCAAGTTCAAGCCCCAGAACTGGCAAAAAAAAAAAAAAAGCTGGGCTCCAGTGGCTCACATCTGTAATCCCAGCTACTCAGAAGGCTGAGATCTGAGGATTGTGGTTCAAAGCCAGCCCAGGTAAAGAAGTCTGTGAGACTCTTATCTCCAATAAATCACCAGAAAACCAGAAGTGGTGTTATGGCTCAAGTGGTACAGCGCTAGCCTTGAGCTGAAGAGCTCAGGGACAGCACCCAGGCCCAGAGTTCCATAGTTCAAGCCCCACAACCAACCAAAAACAAGCAAGGCAAGTCTAGGTAAAAAGCAATACTTTATCTGAAAAAATAAGTCAGGTACAATGGTGCATGTCTGTCATTCCATAAGGATGTGTAGGTGGGAAGCTGTAGACAAAAACATTAAGACTCTATCTAAAAAAATAACTAAAGCAAAGCAAAGCTAGGCACATGGCTTACGTATAGAATACCTGCATGAAGCTCTGAGTTCAAATTCTTTTTTTGCCTGTCTTGGGGCTTGAACTCTGGCCCTGGGTGCTATCTCAGAGCTGTTGTACAAAGCTGGCACTCTATCAATTGAGATACAACTCCACTCTGGCTTTTTTTGGTAGTTTTTTGTGGAGCCTCATGGACTTCCCTGCCCAGGTTGGCTTCAAACTGTGATTCTCAGATTTCAGCCTCCTGAGTAGCTAGGATTACAGGCATGAACCACTGGCACCTGGCTTCTGAGTTCTAATTCTAAAACATAAAATGAAGACTAGACAGAGAAACTAGGTATGTTTAACTGAATATGATTTGGGAGGCAGAAAATGACTAAGGATAAATTAAGACTTCGGATATACTCAAATATTTGAGGACAGACTATCAAAGAAATAGGTGCCCCAATAATGAAAGTCTAAACTTTCAAATCCCATAAGAAAAGAAATAAGGATTCCTTCTCCTTGGTATCCTAGGGTCTGGAGCATAATGTTACTATTCTTGACACCTTATAGAGTGACTTGTCCCATAAAGCATTCAGAATGGTAGAAACCCAGAACAGGAATGTTTGAATGCCAGTTAGGGCAATGACTCCCTCACTTAGAAGCTAAGGACCAAGGCAAAATCCAGACATTCTTTGCTGCTTGCAAAATGAAATGCCATTTAAGCTCAGAGACAAAGCAGTTCTCTCAAGGTGCTAGATTCACTGTCTTCATAGGTATGGCAGTACAGCAAGTCTATACTACCATTTGAATTATAAAGGGCAGTAATGTATTTCCCAAGTCAGAGTAAAAACTCCCATGAGAAGACCTATGTGTATCTAAAAAGAAAAGAAGAGTATAGAGCAGATTGGTCTCCCTCTTCCCTATTCTCATAGTTTACCTTTTCATGGGGACCAGAACTATTACTTAAAAAAAAATCTTAGGAGAAAAAAAAATCTTAGGAGATTTTACTATATGCTTGTTAATATCTATGAATTTCCCTTGGTGTAATATCAGTTAAAAACAAACATTCTCCCACAAAAATGAACAAAGCAAAAGTGTTTTTCTATGCTTTCTTAAGAAACAGCAGGACAAACAAGAAATTGGACAAGGGCATTCCACTTTGTAAGCAATTAACAACGTAAAAAAAAGCTTCCCAGGAAAGTAAGTAATAACCAGAATTAGGCCACATCACTCTGAGGAGAAGAGATGCAGAAGAGAAAAACATGCTCCAAAACAAATCCCTCAACCTCTGCATGCACAAGCTATGGCCATCAAGTGTGTTATGCAGATTATTAACAGTTAAGATCACCTCACTTCACAATAAGATAAAACATCTTACTTGTTGCACCAAGACGACGTGTGTCTCTGGCAATATAATTTGCAAAGATAATAGATCTCATGCTGGTCTTACCAGACCCACTTTTACCCATCAACAGCACCTACAGACAAAGTGAGGAAAAGAAAACAAAGGTTAGCAACCTAGAAAATATCTAGTGCACAAGGTCCGATTTCTCTCCTGAATTTGATCTTACACAGAAATGACTATCTCAACAACTAGGCACAAATACCAGTAAGTAACATGTTTCAAAACCAATGGTGAATTCAGATATACCTAGCATTCCAAGAGCCAATCACTTACCTGATCTCATTTTGGCAATAAAACTCCATTGAATTTATGCTAATATGTAATACTAACATATTTAGGCACAGGTTGGAGAAATATCATCGTGAGAGGAAACTAGTGTTTGATGCACTGAACCATCTAGCAGGGCATTTCAGTGTAATAAAGGTTCTTGCTCTTCCTGCTCAAGGGCAAACTTCCCATCTCTACCCTTGATCTCATTACTACTTCCATTTACCCCTACAATCACCCTATTATTAATTACATGGCCTCTCTTTTCTTGGCACTAGGCTTGAATTCAAGAGGTTCATACTCTTGTCTTTTTCTGCTCAAGGTTGGCATTCTATCACTTGAGCCATACCTCTACTTCAAACCCAGATATTGATATCTCAGCCTCCCAAGTGGCTAGGATCATAGGTATTAGGCACTAGAGTCTGACTCCTTCATGTTTTTAAAAGTTTCTCATGGCCTACAAGTTAAGTCCTCAAATTACTTATAATATACTTATAAGTATAGATCCAGTCTATACTTCTCTGTCCTTATCTCCTGCCCTTACAGGCCAGGGAAGCACGGGCCACATAGAACTCAATGACATATAGTCCTTTTTGTCATTGGTCCTCCTGAGAATTCATACTATTCTGTTAATAAGGTTCCATTGTCTTTTCTTTCATTTAAGTTTCACTTATCCTTCAAGACTTAGCTCAGTAATTATCTTCTCAAAAAGCTTCTCTGACCCCAGTGCCCCCCACTGACATAGGTGTCTTACCTCAGTCCCATGGTGGTACTGTTATATGATTGCAGACAATAATGTACTACGTATTTCTCACTACTCTAAGCCCTTGAAGGGCAGAGTGAGATCCTTTAGTGTCTCCAGTAACAGTAAAGCTACCAAAAACAAAGACACAAAGCAAGAGAGTTTGGGTGGGTATTTTTGTATTTTTCCTTGTTTTGGTAGTACTAGACTTTGATCTTAGAGCCTTGCAGCTTTGCTGTTGCTAGGTAGGTGCTTTACCATTGAGTCATGAATCTAGCTCCCAAATAATGTCTAGTGGAAAATAAGGCTTTATGTCATTACTAACATTTAATAGAAAGACAGCTATCAAAACAGAGGCTAAATATTCATGCACTAGAAAGGAATTGAATGAAATGACTTTAAGAGTCTTTTCATATCTAAAATTTATGAAATATTTTAAATTGCCTTGAATTTCAAATAAAAGGATACTTGTTCTACCTTCAATCCCAAGATACTTTGTCCAAATTCTTTTACACATATGGAGTACTAATGAAATGTAATTCACACAGACTTGATCCAATCTAAAAATGTATACAACTTCACTGCGTTAAGGAAATATCATTCCTAAGTCAGTCTAAAGTTGGTTTAGAACATTTTGTTTTTAGCTGAGTACCAATGGCTCACATTTGTAATCTTAGCTACTCAGGAGGCTGGGATCTAAGGATGATAGTTCAGAGATAGCCTGGGCAGGAAAGTCCATGAGTCTCTTATTTCCAATTAGCCAGCAAAAAACTGGAAATGGAGGTATGTCTCAAGTGTTAGAGCATCAGCCTTAAGAAAATAAACTAAGGGAGGGCTGGGAAGGTGGCTCAGTGGTAGAGTTCTTGCCTTGCATGCATGAGGCCCTGGATTCAATTCCTCAGCACCACATAAGCAGAAAAAGCCGGAAGTGGTGCTCTGGCTCAAGAGCTAGAGCACTAGCCTTGAGCTGAAGAGCTGAGGGACAACACCCAGGCCCAGAGTTCAGGCCCCAAGACCGACAAAAAACAAAAAACAAAAGAAAGACACTAAACTAAGGGACATCACCTAGGCCCTGATTTCAAGTTCAAGTACAGATATAAAAAAAGTTTGCTTTTGTCCTTTTCCAAATTTGTTAACTAAAAGACTACATAAATTTCTAGGATGCATTTTTTTATATATGTGTACACTATAAGATGATTAAATAAAGCTAATTTTTGCTCTTAATCATGTAAAAATTCCTGGCAGTATTAAAGCACTTTTATTAATAGCAACTTTAGACAAACTCATCAAGAACATTTCTGTAGCCCATCTGAACTACTGATAGACAAAGATAAGGCTAAAAACATTTATTTTGTTTTGTTTTAATAGAAAGATTTAACTTAATTGCTTATAAAAGGCCAATGATCATCATGTTAGGTACTAACTGAAGTGCTCCAGTAATTTAGTCACTCAAAATTCACAAAACAGGCAGGTAATATGAGATAGGAAATATTACCACCATTATACAAATGAAGAAACTGAAGCACCAAAAAGTTTAAGACATTAGCTCTAAAGATGAACCCTTAAGTGAATCTACCTAAATCCCAAGATGAGGCACAAAACCAGAGTACAAAGGAAAGAGTATCTAATTAGAGTCAGAAAAGTCATGCAATCTCCCAGAATGTTATCATTTGATATGGGCTAGAATAAATGTGCACGTAGAAGCTTCTCTATTGTATATATATGGTTTTGCCCAGTCAGATTTTTGTATTAAAAACTACACAACAGGCCAGGTGCCAGTGGCTCATGCCTGTAATCCTAGCTACTCAAGAGCCTGAAATCTGAGGATTGCTGTTTGAAGCCAGCACCAGAAGGAAAGTCCATGAAATTCATCTCCCATTAACCACCAGAAAACTGGAAGTGGCACTATGGCTCAAAGTGGTAGAGCACTAGCCTTCAGCGAGAAAGCTCAGAGACAGCACTCAGTCCCTAAGTTCAAGCCCCATGACCAACAAAAAAGAAAAAGCTGAACCAGGTGCTGGTGGCTAATCAAGAGGCTGAGACATGAGGACTATGGTTTGAAACCAGCCCTGTGGCTCAAGTGGTAAAGCAGCCTTGAGTGAAAAACTAAGGAACAGTAGCCAGTGCCAGTTCCAGTGTCAGTACCAGTACATGTGTGCGTGCGCACGCACGTACACACACACTCTCACCCACACACCTATATCAAACAGCAAATAAGGGAGGAAGAGTTAGAAAAACAACATAGAAGATTCCTACAACAGTCCAGGAAGAATGTTATATATGTGTGTACATATACACACATACTATATGCACAAATACTACAAATTTCCTGATTAGCAACTTTTTTACCTTTACCTTCATGTTTCTGATGTACCTGACACATCTTACCTTTTTCTTCATGGCTGTATTTGGTAGCACCCACCTGCAGATATAAATCAAAAGACAGTTTCCATGATCCAATTGCCTCAGAAACTGAAATGAATGAAATACAAATAAATGTGGATATGCAAGAGCATGTATAACACAACTGAGTATAGCTGTGTGGGATCTCAGCTGATCAGAGGCCCTCATTTTCTTAAATTATAAGTTGGATGTGGTTTCCCATCCCCTAAATACAAGCTCAGGAGATATCTCCTAGGAAGCATATTTAGGAATACAATGAGCCATTGAAATTCAAGATTCAGTTTCTGCCATTTTAAAAAATTAAAGCAACATATATGTGTCTTTTCATAAATCAATGTTTTCACATTTGAATCTTTTCTATTCTGGATAAGTATTTAAGTTTGAACTCAGAACCTCACATTTGTCAGTCAGGCACTCTACCAGTTAAGCCACACCCCAAGCCTGAATATTTGCTCTCTTTTCAAGGCAGCTTTGTATTTTTTAATGTGGTTTCTCATTTTTTAAATGTGGAAAGTATCATTGGTTCTTCACCTGTCCGTTCCAGGTCATATTTTACTCATCAGACACACAACATACATTTTACATAAATATTAAATTCATTTACAAATTAGCACAGAAAACACTGTAAAGCCAGTAAGCTGACCAGGGAAGATCAATCCTGTCCCTCATGTTATCCCCAACTACCTTTATTAAAAATTCAAAGCAATTTAGAACTCAATTACGCCCCCTCTCCAAATTCACTAGGAGTACCATCAGCCCCATTCCAAAAAGTGTTTCTACCCAGTTTGGCACCATTCCTTTTTTCAAAAGCATGCCATACTGCTAGCAATTTGAAGCGATATATCCCTGGGGGTGCGGGGGAGGGGATTCATCTACAACATTCTTTTCAATTAAAACACCCTCCCTTCCAGGTTTGAGATAGTACCCTTCACCCACCCAAGCGATCCTTCCGGTTCCCCTAGTGGAGGTTCCATTCTCGGCCCCAGATTCTCTTTCTCCATCTTTTTTTCAGAGTCAGATTCTTCCATCGTGCAACAAGTCCTTTTCAGTGCCTTCTAAATCCGTAGTACTTTTTTTTTTCTTGATCACCCCCCTCGACTGCCGACTCTCATTGCCTGCGGCCCCTCGGCTCTAGTATCGCCTCCGCCTTTGTCCACTGGGGGGCCGCTTTCCTCACCGTTACCTTTACCGCTCAAACTCGGTCTCTAGGCACGGCTAAGCAGGCAAATGCAAAAGCTGAGTGATTTCGGTGATGCAAAGGAAGAGATGGGAGATGAGAGGGAAAGGGGGGGGGGAGGGAAACAGTCGTTCCTAGTTAGGGCCTCACGCCCCAAGGTCTCCAAACCCAAAGGTGACTTCACCCGCAAAGACGTGCGGGACCGTGAAGGCGGTGGTGGCAGAAAGAGCTGGCCTATGCCCTGGACGGTGAATGCCTCGGAAGCAGCCGGCCAGTGGGTCCGGAGTTGGTTTTCCAGATGAAGTCCGCTAGCGGCGACGGCCGTGACGACCTAGCTGCCCGCCCTTCAGGAGCCCAGGTACCAGACCACAAGTCACCCAACTGCAGGCCGAGATCACGTGGGAACTCCCCGTAACCCAGAGCCTGTCACGTGATCGCTGCTGCCCAAGGGGAGGGTGGGCTGGGAAGAATACCATAGAGACTGCGCTGGGAAAAGCAGAGTGGTGTCCATCCGTGTCACGTGGTGCGCGTGCTCTCTGGGTCCGAGGCGGACCTGAAAGCCGAGAATTAAAGGGTCCCTAGCAATTCCAGTGCCTCCACGCTAGTGGATTTTACTGCAGCTTATTCTTACCGCTGGGAAAGAAAAGCACTGTTTATTTTCCTGCTCTTTACCATTAGTTCCTGTAAATGAGGTTATAATTAAATGAATTAATACATCTAAAGCGCTTAAAACTGTCTTTCACAGTTTGTTATTGTCAAAGCTCATAGAATTCACTAACTTTATAGACCATGATAATGACAATTTGTCTTGTGAAAGTTAAAATTTGTTCGTGACTTTACGTATCACTATTCCACAATACTGTGAAATATGTGAAATTTATGTAATCACCTAATCTCAATTTAAAAAAAAAAGTGAGAGAAGAGATTGGTTAGGAGCGATTGGTGACAATGCTGTCAGACACCTTGTACTCATATACTGTTTTGTAGAATGGGAACTTCTTTGTACAACTACTTAAAGATATAATAATAAAAATGTATTTTTTAAAAACCTGTCTGTCACATAGAAAACATTCACTACATTGTAACTGGAACCCAGGTGACATCTGGGGTTTTAGCACACACATCTATCTTCTTTGTTTGTTTGTGCCAGTCAGGGCTTGGATGCTGTCAATGAGCTTTCTTGCTCAAGGCTGGGACTCTACTGTTTGACCCATAGCACGACTTCCAGATTTTTCTGGTGGTTAATTGGAAATAAGAGTCTCATGGACTTTTCTGCCCAAGCTGGCTTCGAACTACGGTCCTCAGATTCAACCTCCTGAGTAGCTAAGATTGCAGGCATGAGCCACCTACACCAGACCCATCTCATTTTTAAAAACACATGTCTTTTAAGATTTTTTTATTAACATGTAATACTTGTGTTTTTATCATCCTCTATCTCTTCCTCTCATGCCTATAAAGAAACTCAGAGACATTGCCAGGCGCCGAGTTCAAGCCCCAGGACCTGAAAAAAACTATTATTTACAGAAAACGATTTTAAATACACAGAAGTATATACTAAAAGTAAAGGAATGGAGAAAGAGTCCCTCAAATGATGCTAAATAAAAGCAGATAGGAATATCTATATTAATTTCAACAGAACAGATTTCTTTATACCTAACAAGGGCTAAAAAGAAGGATTACAGCTGGGCATTGATAGCTCACCCCTGTAATCCTAGCTTCTCAGAAGGCTGAGATCTGAGACCCTTTGTGTATGTGTACATGTGTGCACATACATGCACACAAGATGGGAATATCTATATTAATTTCAGCAGAGCAGATTTCTTTATACCTAACAAAGCTAAAAAGTGGATTGTAGCTGTGCACTGGTGGCTCATCTCTGTACACCTTAATGAGAACAATTAAATTATATTTAAAATTAAATCGTCTGGGCACTGGTGGCTCACGCCTGTAATCCTAATCAGGAGGCTGAGATCTGAGGATCATGGTTTAAAGCCAGCCAGGGCAAGAAGTCCGTGAAACTCTTATTAACAATTAACTGCCAGAAAACCGAAAGTGGTGCCGTGGCTCAAGAGATAGAGCACTAGCCTTGAGCTGAAGAGCACAGGGACAGTGCCCAGGCCCTTAGTTGAAGCCCCATGTTGGACAATAAATAAATAAATAACCAGGTACTGGTAGCTCACACTTGTAATCTAGCTGAGATATAAGGACTGCAGTTAAAAAAAACAGCCTCAGCAAAAAAAAAAAAATGTCCACAAGACTTATCTCCAATTAACACCAAAAAAGCCAGAAGTAATGCTTTGGTTCTAGTGGTAGAGTACTAGCCTTGAGAGAAGAAAAAAAGAAAAAGAAAGGAAGAAAAGCTCAAGAACAGCACCCAGGCCCTGAAGTACTGGCACAGAAAAATAAATAAAAATTTAAAAAATCAGTTCCCACTGGGCACTGGCGGCTCACACCTGTAATTCTAGCTACTCAGGAAGCTGAAATCTGAGGATTGTGGTTTAAAGCTAGCCCAGGCAGAAAAGTTAGTAAGACTCTTATCTTCAATTAACCACAAAAAAACTGGAAGTGGAGTGTAACTCAAAGTGGTAGAGCCCTAGCCTTGAGCAGAAAAGCTCAAGGCCCTGAGTTCAAGAACCATGACGAACAGCAGGGAAAAAAATCAGTTCCCTTTCTACACATGAACAATAAATTGCCGTAAATGAAAAATATGAAGACAATTCGAGTTCTAAGTGTGTGCTGGCATGCCCATCTTATATTGAGATGCAGGTCTCAATAACATTTTGCCTAAACTAGCCTAGAAATTCAAACATCTGGATCTCTGCCTTTCAGGCATCTAAGATTACAGATGTGAGCCACCATGCCTCACAGTAACACCATTGTTTCTCCAATGTATATGCAGAAGGTCATATCATGGGTTTATTTATATCATGGGCCACCAGCTAAAGCTAAGTGCTCACAAGCTAGCAGCCTCAGGGCTGAGAGATTTTGTCCAGATGCATGAATCCCATGTCTTCAAGGGCCCTGAGCTACAAACCCACCTTTGGATTGGATCACTAGGTGACAGATACTCTCATTGTTGAAGAAAAGGTGGAGCCAACCTTCCAGAGGAAATTGCAGTACTCTGCACACATTATGGTGAATAAAACTGGTGATATATGAAGAACATTTATTTATCCTTCTGCTTGGCATCTGACAGATGAATGTAGTTCTTCCAGGTCTCTGTCCTCCTGTGAAACACAGGTGCTCCCATTAAATCATCTGGGTGAATGTGGTCAAAATAATTCATGAACACATGTAAAAATAAAAGAATGAAGCTCATAGAAATTGTTTTAAGAAATGGGAATGTGGGAGAGGCAGAGACACTCAGGGAGCGGGTCTGATCAAGGTATGTTATAGGCAGATAAGGACATGTCAAAACAAAACCCCTTGTACAACTAATTGATACTGGTTTTTAAAATATGGGAAAATGTGCAAATAACTCAGGCAGATACATCATTAAAGATGATATACTTGCCAGGTGCCAGTGGCTCACACCTGTAATCCTGGCTGCTCAGAAGCCTGAGATCTGAGGCTTATGGTTTAGGAACGACTGTGACACTCTTATCTCTACCTACCAAAAAAGCCAGAAGAAGAGCTGTAGCTCAAGAGGCACAGTGCTAGACTTGAACAAAAATACCTCATAAACGGCACCGTGGCCATGGATTTTCTTTGGGGG